ACAGATTTACTACTACACAAGAGACACATGACCATACAACTGGAACTGTGTTATAATTAAGAGCCTTACAGTAAAGGGAGGCTGTATTAACGGCTGAATTTACATGATTTTAAGTCATGACAGTTTTACTGTTGTAGTTAGCAATATACTGTTAAATTTTATTCCAAAAGGTTACAAGTTTAATGACTATATCTAACTATTTATCATAAATACAAATTAGTTCTATAACTATACCATGTAACAGACCACATTGCAAACTTCATCTAAAATATACATTTCTTAGCAATTTGCTATTATTAGTCATTTCAAAGTGCAGGTTTAATCAATGGACAAATCAAACCAATCTCTACAATAGTTTGTTAAAGCAAATAATTATAATATAATACATTTCATAATTGCACTTTGCAATGAAAATAAGTTTGGGATATATTAGTGTACATTCATATAAATATGATAGCAAGCAAGAACAGAAATTGTAAATCAAAACACAACCCATGAAAATATTGGGATTCTTGAAGATTTTCATTAGGTAAAGTTTGATAAGAAAACTTTGTATCACTACGAATTGGGGTAAAAGTGTACAAACGACAAAACATCTGTGGTGCACATAAAAAACATTAGTCAAAATAGTTCAGATATTTATCTTAGTGAGATCTGTTTCCATATACATGTATAATGATTATATTATGCAAATGAACCAATAAATCTAGTCACAATGACCTAAATTTCTTGACCTTGAGATTTATACATATTTTTTTATACTGAAATGTATGTACTGCTATTGATTAATAAAATTCTGAGGACTAGAAATATATTTCACCCTCTGCCAATGTACTATTGGTAGTAATTAATTTAGTTGCTGTTAAAACTTTCTGCCAATACTTTTGTGTTCGTTGTCTAATGGTCTTTTCAGCACTTACTTGGCTATATCATGCCAGAGAAATGAAAGCTTGTGCCTTTCCCCAAAACACAGGCAGATGACCAGGCTAACCTTGTCATGAACCAGCAACCACTGCAACGATGGACTTCATTCCACAACTATATTTCAAGATGATGACGTTTACCATGTTTAAAGTAAATATATTTATTCTGCCTACCCTACCTACATACAAGATTTGTCATAAACAATAAAAAAAATAAAAATGTATATTTCTTGTACTCTTGTATTTCTGTATCACTGTATAGTAAATTCCAATCTCAGATAAACTTGCCAAACGTTCAGGCTTAGCCCCAAAAACTCACAAGTCAAATACAACTGCTTATACCAGGTTCTGCTGTTGCATAATGTGTCAGCTAATTTGGTTCTGTGCAGTTTGTAAGTATCACAAACAACTGATCTGCTGGTGCATAATGCATATCTGAATTTATATTGTTTGCAGTTAGAGCCACCTTATACACAAATACATATGACAGTTATACACACAAACTTGGCATGTACAACCCACTCTTCATATGAATGGGGACATAACTCTTGAATAAGAATTCACCAAACCATAATACCTGAATGACATGCACATCTTTAGGTCATGAGAATAATGACCAAGTTTCCTTTCAATAAAGTGATAGCTGTGACAGTTGTTCTCAATACATGACGTTATGATGGACAAGCAAACATATATACAGACACAAATTCTAAATAAAGTGATAGCTGTGATAGTTGTTCTCAATACATGATGTTATGATGGACAAGCAAACATATATACAGACACCAATTCTAACGTATTCAGTACTACAGTTATATTTCTAACATATTCAGTACTACAGTCATATTTATAATAGAAGCTTAATGTACTTAATCTCGTCATGTGTATGCAAGTTTTAGTAAGTGGATATGACTGATTGATACACGAGTATTTCTGTTCTTTGCTGAATATTTGTAAAACTCCATACCTTTTAAATGTATTTTTGTTTTGTTGCACATTTACATCAGATCAATAAAACTGAACTTGAACAATGCTGACATATAATTCAAAACATTCAAAAGCTTCTGTACTGTTTTCAAGAACGAATGCAAGCAATATTCCAGGAAAAGAAAAATACACAAGTTATATATGAATATATTTAAAGAGTAAATGGTCTACTGAATATGTGATTGAAATGCACTACAACAGGACTTATGTTCTGCAGTTAGACCATGAGGATCTCAATTTGTAATTTATGTTTGATGATGAGAGTATAAACTGGGGGTATGTGAATCAATGTGAAAAATCATTTTAATCTTTAATTAGATTTGGATTCACATGTTGAAAGCTGCATCTGTATTTAAAACTATTTTAAAAAATTTTGCTCTTTAAAAAAAATATTTTATCAGAAAGAACAATCATATCATAGTACTTAAATCCTGTTAGAACTCTCAAGAGACATAAAAAAGTCAATTTGAGGGATCTGTATTTACAGTCAATTAGGTTTAAAATGATGACAAACATTATGTTGGGCCTGAAAAACAAATTGGACCAATCCAGTGAGATCCAAATATATATGAACCAAAACAATTCTAGTAGAAAAATTAAAGTTTAACATTTTCTAAGATGTTGGTTGATTGGCTTCAATAGCACTTTTAACACAGTTCTGGCTATCATGCTCAGGAAATTGAGCTAAGTACCTATCCTAAAAGCACTGAGACAGCCGACCTGGGCTGGTCTCAATAGGTATCAAACCTGCAACTCTTAGATTACAAGTCATATGTTCTACCAACAGAGCTTTTGTGGCTCCCCATTTTGAAAGAATCTCACTAAACATTTACTTTATTCTACCAGTATACTTTATATAATGGTTTCATTCTTACCAGAGAAAATGTAAACTAATAACTCTCCTCAAAATATAGAACAACCCTGGGCTACACGTAAACCAAATACAGTTACAACACATTTATAATGAACTGCAGTTTTGCACGTTTCCTGAGAGTAACATTCGTTTCATACTAAAGAATAAAATCTAATGTTAAATACAAAACTAAAAGTAAGCCATGTACAGAAATAAGTGTATATAAGCATTGTTATATCTCTTGGGACTAAGAAATAAAAACTACATAACCATATTTTGCCCTAATAAGTATCCCTTGGGACTAAAAAATGCACATACCATAACTGACCAAAAAAAAGGCATACCATATTTGACCTAATAAATATTTTGTGGGATTTTATAAATACCTTCAAAAGCAGTATGAAATGTAATGTGTAAGAAAATATTCATATATGTTGTAATAAACATAGCAGAAAATGTGTTGTCATTTTCAAATCTGCACTTGCTGCTTATTCACTTTTCGTATCATCCTTCCATTCACTACCTTTATGTAAAACTATTTATAAAAATGATCTTTTATCTTTTACACACACACACACACACAAGATCCAAAAAGCTTATCAAATAGTGTATGACATTCTTTTTTAGTAACTCCACCTCTTTCCCCAATCTTACCTCTGAAAGGTAATTCAGATTTATCTCCATATATTGTCCTTCATTTAAGTTCTTAAGTCAAAATATATGGTCTTACCCAATATTCTTGAAATCTGATGATCTTTTTCATTTTCTTAAACATCACAAATTTAGATATTATTTTCAATACACTCGGATATAGATGGGCCAGTTGTCAACATGGTGCGAAGCTAGGTTACACAATCTGTAGTTTAACATAGCTGGGTAGAAGAATTTGGTGTGAAAATCAAACTTGCACTACATTTATTGCTGTACATTAGTACAAACTCAATGTTATCAATATATATCTCAATCTTGACAGACAGATTAATTTACTCTTCACTGAGAAAATGATATTAATGTTAGCTGGAGATTTTTTCTTTACCAATGAAATCAAATGGTCTGCTCCCAAACCTCACTTAGACAAGAATTAGTATCTTGACAGAGGCTGTAATGAACTGTTTGTTAAACATCCAAGACAGCTTTGCACCCATTAAAATGTACCCAACTTGTACAAATGAGACTGATGAGTTTAACTTCAAGTAATTATTTATCAAGCCTTAATGTAAGTGCCTTATTAGATTATACTAATATCCAATTTGGACATTTTTTATTGGTCATAATGCAGTCATATTGGGCATTTTTAGCACATATGATGACTTCTGAAGGATGCTGAGACAGATCAATAAATAGATATGATAAGATCAACATAAATTAAGATAAGTTAGAAAGACAGACAGACAGATGGTTAACACACTCAATAGCTAGGTCTTGAACAGCAACATTTGGGAAAATTTTCATTTTTTTTAATGTTGTTCCTATCTGCTCAATCAATTTAATTCTGGAATAAATATTCAATCTATTTATTTTAAAATGTTCATAACTTTTGTAGATTCTTTTATATATAAGAAAATGTTTCAGGCCAAAGGCACAATTTCCAACTTAAAAAGTTCACAAAATAAATTTATCATTCAGAAATTCTGGTGAAAATGATTTCATACATATATTTTTTCAAGATTTCTCTCAGTCTATTTTTATTTCTTTTAACACATGATATGGAGGCAGCTTGCTCACTGGTTCTGTATTAAAGCTGGAATCAGTCATCTCCAAAATAAGAGACAACAACCAAATTCACACGTAATAACCCCCGACATGTCACCTTTGTTCAAAGACTTTTGATAGATTTAACATTTAAACACTGTATTTATTATTAAATGTGTACAATTTTTCACTCCTAATTCTGTACTATTTGCAGAATTTTGCAGAGCATTCTTTGAAAAGTTGTAACAACAGATATCTTAAAGGAAAACATTACTACAATGTTGGTCCATTAACTATATTTGGGTGAGTGAGTGATTTGGATTTTTAACATAGCTTTAACAATTTTTCAGTCATATTGCTATGATGTCTGCATTGTTGCAGTTTACAGTGATGTTTAGTACTGGGGCATCATGTCATAGACATGTAGCATCATGTCCCACCCAGTCACATTATCCTGACAGCAGAATGACCAGTCCTAACACTAACCTCTTAATGCTGAGTGTTAAGTGATTCAGGTGTAATTACCATTTTTTTTCCCTTTGGTATGACTCGGCTGGGGTTTGAATCCAGAACCTCCAGCATCTGAGGCAGACATTCTAACCACTAGGCCACCGAAGTGATTCCATCTCAAACATGGGTGGATACTATTAATAGAGGTCTGATATGCACCATAATACAAGTTTGTTATCTTGGATCATAATGCAGTAGTACAGTTTGTGCATACAAATTTCTGAAGACTCCTCCATACTATGCTTTAATGTTTCTTTGTACTTGTAACAAATATAATCCATCTATCCAACAAGATTGTTTGAAAGATGAATCCAAGCGTTTTCATTATAAAAATATGCAGAAAGACCATACCATAATTTTGATTCCCAACCCATTATTATTCAGTAAATATTGCCAAAAAATTGTTGAATAGGCATAATTTTATAAGCTAATCAAATTCTGAGAAAAATTAGTTCTCTATTAATCTTTTCTAATGAATACATTTCTACACAAATGACTCACCCCCTCCTCAACAAAAAAGGAGGAAGGGCTTACAAGATTTTTGATATTCTCAAGTATTTATCCTACAATTAATTTTGTAAACAAAATTGTAGCTTTATTCCATTTTTAAAGTGCAAAATAAGTCAATTTAAAGTTACATTTATTGACTTTAGTACATTTAATGTGTGTTTAATACAACTGCTTCATTTGCAATACCAAAACAATCAAGTCACTACTTAAAGAGGTAAGAATAAATGGATGTGTTAGGAAGTATAGGGCTGTTTACTGCAGAAAGTGGGTGATCATTTAATACATGGTTGTTATAAAGGAATTCCACAGCAGGAAATGGAAACTGCTATTGAAAACAGGTGACCATTTGGGGAGGTTTGCCCTCCCCCTCTCTCTCTCTCTCACATACACACAAACACAAAGAGTAAAGGACGAAATTATATATTGCAGCAGCAAGTAGAGTCCTCCAATGTAACTAATACAGGCAAAATATAAAGTGTCAATTAAATGATTGAGATATCACCCCTGTTCAGAGACGCATGAAATGCTGTTCGTATGATGCTTTCAGATATGCATGAGTTCTGGTCTTTTATGTGTTCTTATAAAACTACATAGCCTTACTTAACAAAGTTAAAAAAAAAAAACAATAATATCATAATACAAACTGTTATAACAATGTTGGTCCAATATCTTTTCTAGGATTAAAACAACTAACCTAATGATTAGAAACCTGTCGAGAAATGTAAATATTTAATCTAAATCATGGGTATCTATGAAGATCTCATATGTACTATATACACTTGCTTACTTGTCAAATCCAACTGCAAGCTTCATAGACCCAGATATGTTGCTGAATACTGCTCTCTCAAACTTTAGTGCATGCAGTTTGTTAAGATTAATAAGTAGAACAAACAATATAGACCCTGACATAGTGGTGCATCATGTGAGCATACTCAGGTCTATAATGTCTGCTGTTAGACTGGATATATAAATGAAAGTACATACAGTACCATTTTAAAAATCCATGAACAAAATGCATTTTTGCAAACAGATTTATGCCATACTGATTTTTTTTATTTATTTATTTATTTTTATAATATTTATAATGACCCTCTCCAATGTAGGTGAAAAGTTTTTGAAAGTTGTATTTAAATTTAGACTTTTAAACAATACATCAGAATGATCTTGATACCCAAAGTACATAAAACTATATTCAAAGTAAAATTATTTTTCTATTATATTTTTATTTTCATTACATATATATTCAGTTTCCAGTCCATTAAGAATTGTAACCCACCTTCAATCTCCAAAATGATTGACCTGGCACAATTACATTCTGCCTGAGAATTAATCATTCTCTATGTAACTTGCACATTTCAAACCATACTTCACTCTGACCCGAAAACTTTAACACTTTTGAAAACAAATAGTTGTCAATACTGAATACAATGTTAAATCCATGAAATGAAGCAACTTAATGTATAAAATAAGCTGCATGCAAGTGACATGAACCATTGTTAAAAAATCAGTAAATATATATGGTACACCATGCAGGATACCTGCCACTATAATTACTATTGTTAATAGATATATAACACCACTGACAAAATCCTCTGATTCAAAACAATATCCCAATAAATAGAGTAAACATCATTTTATCCTTGTTTTATTACATGTCAAACATTTTTATATAACAAGCAATATATTTTTTAAAATTGTTTTCTATAATGTGCTAGTCTATTAGATGAATAAATATAAAGCCATTTTGAAATACAAGCGTACAGGACATTCACTCCAAATACAAATGGCTACTGGGAGAAACTAGGGATTACAAACTACACTACCAGATAGATTTCTGACAATTAATTTATCATAAGACCTTATCAGTATTCAGGAACAGCCAATCACATTAGACTTCTTGGCCACAGCTCTTTACTGATTTAATACTTTGAAAGGAATGATAAGCACTAAATATTAAACACAAAAGCTTTTTATATGCACACATCAAATACAGTCTTTCCAAGCCAGCATTACTACTATATCATAAACGAGAGGTATGCTGTTATACATTGCCAGACCTGCCAACCCTAACACCACAATCTTCTTAGTAAGAAGAATTTTGTCCCCCAGTAGTTTTCAGTCAGGTGTAACAAAATATCACTTAATGGTATTGTCAAGCTGGAAAACATGCATTTGTTAGCCCAGAAGTGTAATTCAAACAGATGCAGTGACAGTAAACATTGTGTTCAACTACACCTTTAAAAAATTGTAGAGTTAATTGGAACCTTTATTATCTCCAGTACAGTTTCAAAAATTTAAGTTTCAAACCCTACAGAACTCAATGGCTTTTTGCTATATTTCAATTTGATGTAATTCTTAAAAAAAAATCACATAGCCATACACTGTTGTCTTTATTTCCTTTTCCAATCAGAATCTGAATATTCCCTTTGATTGTTCCCTATTGGCTAGAAAAAACTTTTTAAGAGTTTATAATCCCTTTTGTTTTGAAAATGTGTTGCTTGATGGACACCATTTTTAAAACAAAAAAGCAACAACTTAATCATGCAGATGTTTTGCATCACAAAATACATGTAGTTTAAAACTGTGGTACTCCTTTAAAATTGGTCTTGTTCCATGATTAACTCCATTGAATCTAATCCGAAACCCTGATCTGAACCAGAAACACAGACAAACCAGTATCCAGATTTTACCACAAGCAACCATATTTCGATAATTTGTACATGTATTCCACATGTCAGTATCTTAAGGGTCATTTCCATAAGACTTAAGGCAAAATCGTAAAGGTTGGCATTGCAAGAGACAGTTAAACAGTTGTAGATTTTAATTGATATACTATTAAATATTTTATAAACAGTTATATCATGATGGATTTTGCAACTGATAATGGCATACTGTATATAAGTGTTCAGAGGCAAGTATGCCAAAGTTGCTACCAAATGGTTGCAAGTTCCAATCCTAGATTCAGATCAGCCTCGGCTGGCTATTGAGGTTTTTCCTTGGGTAAATCACTTTATTCCAAATGCCTCTGCATTAAAATAACCTGTGTTGCTGTGACATGAAACAACAAAACTATTCACTAATTTCACAAAAAATATATTCCTGTAATCTAAATTTGCTGTAGGTGAATTTATGTTTTACTATAAATACTGTCTTAAGAAACAAAATTTAGGCATTAACAGTAGTTCATCAAAAATTGGCTGCACTGTATTTCTAAATTTAAAATATGATATTTAAATGCAGGTAGGTATTGGACACTAGTTAAAGATCATAGTCCTAATGCACACACCTATTCAATTTCAGTCTCAAAACTAAACCTCACTGGCAAATAATGAATTTTTTATAAACAGTCTCAATCTCCAACACTTAAAATCAATTACTATTAATATATGAGATCCACAATGAGACTCAGTCAAGAATACAAATGTAGCCAATAAAAATTTCAACAAGTCACTAACTATCACGATCAGGATGGAATCGGGCAGATTTTCTCCTGTCTATCACTAAATCTGAACTGTCCTTTTCCTGCCGATTAATTTCTGTATTTGAAAAATGCACCGGGGATGGTGGTAAACTGGGTGATAATACTGGCAAAGAAATGTCAAGGTCTCTTTGGTCAACTTCTGGTATCAGCTGTTTTAATTTTGCCACTGCATTAAGAAGGGCTGCACGTTCAATTTCAAGAGTCCTAATGTGCGATTTAAGTTTGTTTTCGGAAGTCTGATAGTTGTGAAGCATGCTCTCTATACTACGCTGCTGACTATGAGCTTGCTGAAGCTTCTCAAGGAGTTCCATATTTTGTTGCTTGAGATTATGATTAACTTGCTCCAGCTTCTGAATAATGTCGGACTCGCCCTTGACAGGGGAATACATCATCTCTTCTTTTAGAACATGATATTCAACTTCGTAGGCTTGCAGTTGCATGGAGATATCCAAGAGAAATGCCTTAAATGAGAAATTTAGTTTATATAAAATTGGCAAATTAACATACAATTATATATATATATATATATATATATATATATATATATATATATATATTACAGAAATGAATGGTCTCCCTAAGTGATCAGCAAATACCATAACCCTTGATTATATTTTTTTGGTGGAGGTTCTACCCAATTACATTTGAACAATATGGCTTGGTATATCTATCAGTGTATTACACAGGTCAAAATGTGCCTTTGCAGGAAATGAAATACCTATTTACTATATATGTTGGGACAAGATATTTGCTGGGACACCATAAATTAATTTTAAAAGTAATTTTTGTGTGCACTGAATATTCAGGGACACAATTTTTTTTTTAGTTGTAAGTTGTGGGACACCTTTTAAATCATTCAAAAATTACATGTTGGAAGATGCACTCTAACTGAAATTTTATTCTAAAAGATATAAAACTGTGTACTTGAGATAAAACTCTTTAATCCATTGCAGCTGCATTTCATCAACACAACCCTTCTCTTGCACGTGTACGATCCATTCTTTCAGTGCATGAATATTTTTCTAGCTTTCTCATACTATGAAAAATCATTAGAGGCAACACATCACTAAAAGTGGAAACTGCAAGGACTAAAGTCAGATGTTTTCAAATCTACACCA